CAGGGAGTAGGGGGAGCAGGCGCGGCGTGGGGGAGTGGGCACAGGGAGTAGAGAGGAGTGTGGTGTGGGGGAGTGCGCACGGGGAGTGGGTACGGTGTGGGGAGTGGGCACAGAGAGTGGGGGGAGCAGGCGCGGCGTGGGGGAGTGGGCACGGGGAGTAGAGGGGGGGTGCGGTGTGGGGGAGTGTGCACGGGGAGTAGGGTAAGTGGGGGAGCACTGATGTTGTGGGGTGAGCGTGCACGGTGTGGGGTTGAGTGGTACGAGAGGTGAGTGGCCTGGGGGCAAGTGTGCACCATGTGGGGGACTGTGCGTGGGGCGTGAGGTGAGTGCGCACGGCGTGGGGAAATATTTGTTGGAGGAGTGCGCAGGGCATGGGAGAAGGTTGCTGTGGGCATGGAGCGGGTGTGCACAGGGGAGAGGAGTGTGCAAAGAGTACAGGGTGAGTGTGCATGGAGTATAGAGAAAGTGTGGGTGGTGAGGGTGAGCATGCGTGGAGCGTGGGGTGAGACTGCACAGCTTGGTGTAAGTGTGCGTGGGGGGTAAGGCGAGTGTGTGCAGTGTGGGTGAGTGCGGGCAGTGTGGATTCAGTGTGGTTGGGGCATGGGGTGAATATGCAAGGTGTGGGGTGAGTGTGCATGGTGTGGGTAAGTGTGTGTGGGGTATGGAGAGCATGTGCATGGTGTGGGGAGTGTGTGTGGCAGAAAGTAAATACATAGGGCCTGGAGGAGTGAGTGTGCACAGGGCGAGGGGTGTGCATAGCATGGGGTGAGTGAGGGTGGGGATGAGTGTGCACAGGGTGCCGGGGGAGCACAGAGATACCAGATTATGTTTGTGGGGGCTGGGGCTGCAAGAAGGTGCCCCTGCAGGGATGAGGCACGTGGGTGCCTGCCTGTGTGCACAGGGGCTTGAGCGTGAGTGGCACGTGCTGGGGGTGTGACTCTGTGTGGGCACAGAGCGTGGCCGTGGAGGTGCCAGCTCTCTTTTGGGCTCTCCCAGCCCGGTGCCAGGGAAGCAGTGCCACAAGGCCACCGGTGCCTTTGGAGGAGCTGTGGATGTGGCTCTGTCTTCCCTCAATGGGGCCACCAAGCGCTCCCCACCTCAGTTTTCCCGTGAGCCTTTTTAGACTGGGCACCCAGATTGTGTCCACCTCCTTGGTACCATCACCCCAACGCTCAGGCACCCTTTACCTTTGCGAAATCCTGCTGGGCACCGAGTCTGCCATCTGAGAGCTGTGTGGTGGCCTTGCAGCCTGTTCTTGTGTCCTGCTGCTCCCCTGGGGTCAGGAGGATGGCCCTGAGAAAGCCCAGGGCAACAGGGCTCTCAGTGAACACTGTCTGCCCAATGCAGCCCCTTCCCAGTCATGGGATACTCATGGGAATACTTGTCCCCCGAGTTTGGGCACCCACCCTGGGGCTAGGGGGGCTCCTCTTGGGAGCTGGTGGCTGGGGGGAAGTGGGCAGTGCCCCTGCAGGTCCCCAGTGTCCCCAGCCACCATGGCACATGCCATGCTGGTGTTTGTGCTGTAAACAGCCAAACAGCAGCTGGCAAAGCGCTCTCCCCCCGGGCAGGCACCACGCGTCTCTGAGCCGGCACAGCAGTGCTGGCGGGGGCTGCCAGTGCTGCTTGCGTGTCAGTTCCTGTTTGCACCGGGAAGGAAAATGCGTTTCCTTTGGGAAATTAGTTACAATCTGGGGTTGGGCCCGAAGGCTGTACTGTACCCCTCAGGGGCTCTGGGTTCAGGGGGTGGCATCCCCACTAATGTCTCTTTTGCAGTCATGGGGATGCTGGCTGTTCTCCTGCCCCTGGCTCTACTCCCAAGTGGGCTTAGCCTGTGTGCATGGGACCAGCATCTACCCTCCAATTTTCCTACTCACTTAGCTTGGCAGGAGGGGCATCACAGACCCTTCTGTCCCTTGGGCAACGTCCTGAGTTCGCAGAGAGATCCCTTGCACAGCACCGCCGTGGCAGCCATCCCACTTCATGCACAGCTGCCTCCCTCCTGGATCTCCCCCAGCACTCCCCAGACGATGTGGGGTGTCCCCATCCCCATGTGTGGGATGTAGTGCCGTTGGGACCCCCACTCAGCCACCCTGCCACCAAAGTGGGCAGAGGATGCCTGGCCCCTTGCTGCAGACTTTGGCTGATGGGAGGTATGGTGTCAGGGCTGGGCAGAGCACACCAGGGGACTTGTGGGAGTGACACACACTGGACCCCAACATAGGGGCCTTTGCTCCTGCCTTCCTCATCTCCTCCTACCCAAGACCTAGCTCCCATGCTCCATTTCCCCTTTGCACCCTGGTACATGCTGGCTGGACACCCCCTTGGCAGGGCGGAGGGAGTCAGAGGAGCTGCCCCCCCCTGCCAGGCAGCACCCTCGCTCAGGTGTCACCCGCAGGTCCTCACCACTCCCTGCTTTCACAGGCCACCCCAGGGGTTACACCCGGGCATGGGCTGAACCCACCAGAGGGTGCTCTGGGGGCTACTTTTGGGGGTCCTTCCTACCACAAGGCAACTCCTGCTGCTCCAGGGACACTGGCGCCCGGGCCCTGGGAGTGCAGATGTTTGTGTGTTCGTTAGGATCCTGCGCACAAATAAATGCCAAGGCAAATCAGAGGGGAAACTCTTTCATCCTCCTCCAGCTTTTAATGACATAATCGCTTCCAAGAGCGGGTGTCTCACACGCTCCTGCTGACTTGGGGAGGAGGCTGGCCGCTGCGTCCCACCATCTCAGCACTGGCAGTGGGGTCAGTCAGGGGGGGACCTGTTTCCTTATGTCTCAGACATGTCCCAGGGCTGAAGAAGAGCCAGGTGAGCCCTTTGCTCCAGCCTTTCTTCTGTGTCATGCGGGCAAAGCCCTTAAGTGTGAGATTAGGCATTCGTTGTGGCCTGGAGAACTGGGAGCCTACAGGACAGGATCTGGCCCCTCTGAGAAGGGATGGGTGCAGTCAGGCATGCCAGGCTGGCAGAGGAGGCTTTGGTCCTCATGGGAGCGTCAAGGCTCAGGGCAAAATCTGGGCCTTCTGTGAGCACTGCATCTGTTCTTGTCGGTGCTACAGCCCCTTGGTTGGGGCCATAGGGCCATGGGACCTGCCACCTCCCAGCTTCCCTCTTGTCTCCAGCACCCCTCAGCAGTCCCACACTCTGGAGAGACCAGGCAGGGATGTGGGAAGATCTCAGAGCCAGCATGAGGGGTGTTGCTCCCCTGAGCCAGGGCAGGAAAGGTGGTGGGGGGTTCCTGGCACAGGGCACCATGGGGACATGCCTTGGACCTCCACTGCCCAGCCAAAGCACCCAGGCAGGTCCCTTCCTTCAGCAAGTTACATGGAGGCCCATCCTGTGCTTCATTCAGGGAACCGAGGAAACATCCATCCCTCTTCTACTTCATTCTCCCTTCCCTTCATCCTTCTGTCCCTCATACCATCTCTCTGTCCCTCCATCCCCTTTGCAATCACTCCATCTCTACACCCCACATCTTCCTGCCCAGCTCCAGTCTGCCTGCACTTTCCCTGCTCCTTTTTCCATCCCTTGTGCAGGAGCAGGTCCTGCCAGAACCCCACACCAGAGGCTCCACACCCCCAGGAGGATGTGACTGGCTTTTCTGTTGTCAGCTCCCTCAGGACCCCTTTCCAGCACCTCTGTATGCAGCCCATGGTTCACTGGCTCTGTTCCCCCCGTTCCCTCCTGGCAGGTGCCCTCCTTTAGCCCCTTCTGCCTTGAAATAAGCAATCTCCAAGCCCTGTGCCCTGGACAATCATGCAGAGGTTTTCATAGGCACTGGATGGAGGGGTCACTGGTATCTCTTTGGAGCAGTGGGTCATCTCTCTGGGGGTTTGGGATGTCCAAGGATGACGCCCTGGAGACCCACAGCAGGGAAAGGCAGAGATTGAGGTCTCTCTGCTGCTGCTCCCACTTGATCTCACAGACTGGTTGCAGGCCCATGGATGGGACCTGAGGGCAGCATGGGGAGAGACCAGCCTGCTCCAGCCAAGCACCATCCTGGCCATGCCACAGCATTGGAGAGGCTGATGGCCCCTGTAACCACCAGATCCAGCCACTCTGTGTGTGCAGTTGTGGGAGGATGGGGCAACTCTACCAATACAGAATGGGGCTGAAGGGGTGCAGAGGAAAGCTCTGGGGAACCTTAAAGTGTGGGGAAGCAGGAAGATGGACAGAGATGGAGAAGCACCAGGACAGGCACTTGATCTGATCCCGCCAGGACCTGGAGGCCAGAGGGGAAGGGTGCTGGGACCTGCATGGCTCGCAGTCTGCAGCAGGGCATGCAAGACTGTTTGGAGGAGGAGGAAGGAGAGGTTCACTGGGAGCCCATGTAGCCAGCCATGCATCCAGCCTTCGCCGTCCTGCAGCACAGTTCTCTTCGCTCCCCTGCCTGGCAGCACCCACGGGACCGGAGCGGTGGCTGCATGAGTCAGGGCTGGGCGTGGGGTCGGGGTGACCCTGCCTTTTGCGGCAGCATTAGTCACTGTCCCAAGCTGCCCCAGCCCGGCAGCAGTGGAGTCCCCAGCATCGCTGCCCTCCCGCTGGCTCACACCCCGCGACCTGCCTGACTCTGCTCGCCGTGACTCAGGAGCCAACCACACGGCCACTCAGCCGGCCCGGCCAGTCCTCCTGGTTGCCCATGGCTGGGGCGCTGGCAGGGCCCGGGGCAGTGGGTGCATGCCAGCCCCAGTGCCATCGCTTGGCCACTCTGCCCCTTGTGTCAGGGCGGAGAGGTAGGATCTGTCTGCTTCCAGCCATCCCCGGGAGCATCCTTGAGGTGAGGCAGACCTTCCCTCCTCATCCTTCTCCCAGCAGCTGGCAACGGGTGCCACAGTGACAACAGGGTGCAGGGAAGGAGTTGAAGACCCGCTGTGGGTACCATCCTGTGGAAGCCTTAAATGCCAGGTCTGGAGCAGGCCCCTACCCATGTTGTCATCCCACACCACAGGGACGGCTGCGCAAGGGGACACTCCATGGCAGAGCAGCCTCCGAGCTGATTGGGGTGCTGGTATGACCAGGATGGGGGATCCCAGCACTGCCTCTGGTGAGGAGAGCACATCCCCAGAGGCCAAGCTGCTGGCTAAGGCGGTGGGGAGGTGGCAGGATGGGACTGCCCAAGCACTCTGTGCAGTGCTGCCCCAGGCATCTCTCCCCTGCGGGGAGGGATGCACCACCGCAGGGATGGGTGGAGAGTACTGCTCCCCAAGCAAAGGCGGCAGGGCATGGAGCTGCCTCAGCAGCCACTTCTCTCACAGCTTCACCCTCCGGAGGTAGGCATAATCAAATCCCCCTCCCCAGGCATGGAGAATGGCTGCTGTCTTCATTACGGGGTAAGTAATGAGCCTTCAGGAGTGGAAGGCCTTTAGGTAAGGTGAGATGTTGGCAGTCAGGAACAGGACCCAGGAATGGGGGGGCTCTGCCCCACCCTTCTGCTGGGGGTCTGAGGGGTGCTCTGGGGGAA